ATGCAATCCATCGACTGGATTGCAGTGGGTTTGGTTGTGGCTTTTGGGAGACCTGGGTTTGATTCCTGGCCGATGCACCTCATGCACAGTCCTCAGACCCCTCTGTCCTTGGAGCTTCCAGACTAAGACAGACTAGGAAGAAAGCCTTGGCGATCTCCTCTTGAAAACCAGCCATGAGGACCTCCTGGAGCCCAAAGGTCTGCTCCTCACTGGGTCATGGAGATGGCCCAGGCCTGGGTAGCCCTGCGTCCCTGGTGCATAGGTTTAGGGCCGGGGCAGCTAACAACAGCAGCAGCAATGACAAGAGAGCGGGAAAACCACGATGCTGGACTGCTGACCCGCTTTCACTCCAGGTGGAGCTGTCGTTTGGAGGAAGACTCAGCCATTCCCTGGAGGGAGTGGGGAGAACGGGATCCAATCCAGGAGGGCAACCAAGAAGAAGAGGTGTGGGGCTGGTCAAGCAATAGGACCCAGAAATGGGAAATGCCCCAAGGCTGCTGGAGGTGTGGACGCCGCCATTCGGTTGTGTTGTGGCCACACTGGCTTCCCTTTGGTGAAGGTCTCCAGGGTGTGTGCAGTGATGGTCACTCACCACTCCTTACCTTTCCAGCAGAGTCCCTGGGCCCCCAGGGCTTAGAGCACGAGCCTCCACCACAGCCAGGCAGGCATGTGGAAGGGTAGTGACCCCCCACCCTTATGGGGGGAGAATGAAAAATGGGAAGGAGCCTGGTGATGTAGCAGTTGGATGTCGGGCTGCTAACCACGAGGTCGGCAGTTTGAAACCACCAGGTGCTCCATAGGAGAAAGAGGAGGATTTACTTTTTAAAGCCCATGCAGAGTGACAGTCTGGGAAGCCAGCAGGGGCAGTGCTACCTGCCCTGGAGGCTCGCTGTGAGCGGGAGCCCACATGGCAGCGAGTCTGCTTCGTTGTTTGGGAGAGATTGTGTGCCTGGGTTGAAAGCTCTCTGCCCTTTTCTCTGATTTTGGACAAGTTGCTGAGGTTCCTCCTCAGCCCCACGGAGAAGCGAGCCGTCTGTAGCTCAACCCGTGTCCAGGAAAGGAGCTCCTTTGAGACACGGACAGCCCCTCCAGCAGCACCTGGCATGTGGTGTTTAAGGAAGTGGTGTTCTCGTGTTAGAGTCCCATGGGAGGTGGCATCACCTACGTAAGCAACTGGGAGTTGGACTTACCACCCATCTTGGTGAACGAGGCAGAGACAGACTTATTGAGAGCTAAAGAGACCCAGAGATGGGGCGCTTCTTGGACATGTTCGGAGATGAGGCAATGGGGACTCCCCTTTGAGTGGAGAGCCTAGGTGTGGGTTGGGTCAGTTGGTGGAGTTGACGGGGTCTGTAGGGATGCTTCTCTCTAGTGACTCAAGGGGCAAGGTTGCTTCTACCCAATACCACGTCCATCCCAACACTCCCTGCCATCAGGTTGATTTTGGCTCTGACTCTATAGGACAGAGTAGAACTGCTTCCCGGGGGTTTCTGAGGTCTGGATATCTTTATGGGAGCAGATAGCCTCATCTTTCTCCTGCGGAGCAACTCATGGGTTTGAACTGCTTACCTTGTGTTTAGCGGCTCTGTGTGTAACCCACTAAGCCACAGGGCTCCTCCATCTCCACATGTGGCTTCCAAAGTCCCCACAATGGGGAGGAGAGCAATGCCTGTCCCCACTGGGAATGACACACCTCACGTTCTTTCACCACCCACCGTCCCAAGCCCATCGATGGCCTTAACTTGAGTCCAGGCGGGGCTGGCAGAGATAGGAGACCACCTGGAGGACTTGTGTGATTGCTCCCCATCTCTGCAGTACCACCTCTTGCCATGTCTCCCCTCCTCTTCCTTTAATATTGGCTGCTTTCATCAACAGTCAGCATCAGTAGACAGTCATGAGCACTACCATAGACCCTATCAGCCTCCTCATCAGCCAGGGGCCCTGTTGGATGTGCCCCACGCAGTTTATTCTCCACACTGTGATCTGACATAATTATCCTATGAGTGGAAAATCCCAACCTCTTCCAGGACACGCCTGCTAGAAGTGGGGCCCATTCATGGGGGACGTGGACAGGACAATGACTCGTTGGCCCGACCGCTCTTCTCTTAATGGTGAGTGCAGGCCTCCCTTTGCTCTTGCATAAGTGTTTCTCGGAGTGTTCTCTTGTACATCTTGTCCTAGCCTGGCATCTGCTTCTCGGGAAGCTTGAAATCACACGTGAATCACAACGACCTGCATTTCCCTGTAATTAAGAATTGTCTCCTGCACGTCACTGACTTGTTTCAGAAAACCCCAGGGGGAAGTTTTACTCTCTCACATGGGGTCGCAATGACTTGGAACTGGTTTGAAGGCGCCTAAAAATAATAGCAGCAGATTCTCAAATGCCTGCTCTTCTGGGGCTCGTGTATCCATTCATTTTATTTCTCTGAAGACCTTTCCCTGCTCAGGCTGGCCTGGAGGGGTTCTGGATCTGGACACTGCGTTGCCTGGATCCTCCCATCCCCTTGGTCTGTGTTTGAGCTCCCCTCTCCCCTCATGGACGGAATTGTGTCCCCGTAAAATATGTATCAATTTGGCGGGGCCAGGATTCTCAGTACGAAGTAAGTATCTGCCACATTGTGACCTGATGTAATTATCCCACGAGCTGAAAATCCTAACCTCTATGATGTAAATGAGGCAGTGCTAGTGGCGATTATGTTAACGAGGCAGAGTACAACCGACAGGATTAAGTTGTATATTGAGTCCATCTCTTTCGGGATACAAAAGGGTTTCACAGGCGGCAGAGATCCGAGGGACTTCTTACTACCAAAGAAGAGGCGCTGGGGAGCGGAGTCCATTCTTTGGACTCAAAGTCCCTGTGCTGAGAACCTCCTAGACCAGCGGTTCTCAACCTGTGGGCCGCGGCCCCTTTTGGGGGTCGAACAACCCTTTCACAGGGGTTGCCCGATTCCTAACAGTAGCAAAATGACAGTTATGAAGTTTCAGTGAAAATAATTTTATGGCTGGGGAGTCACCACAATGACATGAGGAACTGTATGAAAGGGTCACGGCGTGAGGAAGGTTGAGAACCACTGTTGTAAAAGAACCAGCTGAGAGAGAAACCTTTCCTGAGAACGAGTGCTCTGAATTTAGATGTCTGGTCTCCTGAACTGTGAGAGAATACATCCTGTCTGTTAGAGCCAACACCTGTGGTATTTCTGTTACAGTCATGCCAGTCCTAGTTTTCTAAAACTAGGACAACATCTTCTTGATTTTCTCTGTCCTGCTGTCTCAACAGCCTCCAGGAGCTCTCCAAGAAAGGCCCTCGCAGAGGACGTGGGACTGTGACGATCCGTGGAGGTCTTTATGTCACTTCTTCAGCCCAAAGTAAAAGGATAGTGTTCCGATTCCTGCTTCTTTGCATAGGACGTGTGTTTGCATTTCTGTATGGAAGTTGGTGGAAGTTCTGTATGGAAGAGGTGGGCCTCAAGAGAGGGCTTCATAAAGTTTGTGGGAGAATGGAATGGAAAGGTAATGGCATGTCCCCAGGAACTTGTTGAGGCCTCCCTGTATTTCCTTCCACCTGCTGGGCGCTGATGGCCATTTTCCAGGGGGGATTCCAAGGTTACGAGGAAGGCACAGGGAGAAGCGGCTCTGTTTCTAACCCTGTCCGATGGCCACCTTGCTTCTCTTTCCAGAAGCACCAGGCTCATCACTACTGTGCATCTTCTCCAGGTAGTCCATGAGGACACATTGGACAAGCCGAGTGTATCCACAACCCAGGAGGAATGCTGCCCAAGATTTCCATGTCTGGACGTACCATGGCATTTCTTCAATCAGTCAGTTCACTCTTGGGAGTCTCTGGGCCATTCTGCTTTTTAAAGATAGTCCATGGTGATGTGATAAGCCTATCAGCCAACCTTTGTGTCTGGCTCTGTGTCCTCCTGGTTTGTTTCCTGTAGCGTGTTCACACTTGAGGCTTACTATGGACAGGCTCTCTTGAGGTTTGAGACCCCTTCCTCTCCACAGATTGACCTAGGATGCGGGGCGGATCAGGCTGGAATGCCGTAGGATGCTCGATGGAGCCTCGCCCACACGTAGGGGACAGAAATTCCCTTCCTGCAAGTCATTTTCCCCAAAGACAGGACTTTCTCACTCAAACCCATGACGTCATCTCCAGGCCCAGCTGTCCACAGATTTTCTCAAAGCTGTGAGCCTTGGTAGTCACGATTTCCCATTCCCCCTTTGAGCTTGTAAAGTGACAACAACAATGAGATGACACACCTTTTTTTCCTCCCCTTTCTCTGCATGAGTTCTGAATGTAGAGAGCTGGACGTGCCTGGGGTGAGCACCGTACAGTGGTCAGACAGTGTCTATCCCTGTAGCGAGTCCCTTTACGTCTGGAGATGCATGCCTATCTGACCCCCGACCCCTGTCTGCAAGGGTCCTGAGCCAGGCTTTTTCCTGCCATGATTGAAAGTCTCAGAGGGGCTGAGAGGCAGGGTCTGGACTGAGGTGGGTTCAGGGTCCCCAGTCTTCCCAAAAGCAGAAAGAGCCACTCCACCAGACGGACTTCAGGGACCTGCAGTCGGAGGTCTTGGGTGTCAAACCTAGCAAACCTCTCCTTTCTGAGCATGTTGTCTCTGCTGGAGAACGGGAACCGTGAAGCCAGCCGCTCCATGCCCCTCGGGGACTTGGAGAGACATGCGTGGAAGCGCTTATCTCACCACTGTGGCCCAGCATCCGCCCACTCGGAGTCTGTCTGAAAGTCGGGGGGTGGTGTGGGTGATTTCTTAATGTGAGCCAAAAGGTTTGGGCCACTGTCCAGAGAATCCTGGATGGCCACCATCAGAATGGGGTCAGCTCTGACAGCCCAGACCCTGCGATTCGAACCAGGCTTAGAACCCAGAGTGCCCATCATCCTTCTGACCACCACTCAGACAGCCGGGGGCAGCCCCCGGGCCCCTCTGAGGCCACGCCCTGCAGACAAGGCTGTCCCGCCTCCTTGATGCTCTGCAGCCCTCCACCGGTGACCATGTCCACCTCCTCCCTCAGCGCCCGGTTTCCCCCCTGTGGTGGTGGCTCGGCTCCTCCTCTCCTGGGATGCCTCGGTCCTCCCCGAGTCCTGTCATCTTCTGGGCTCCCGGACTCCCCATAAGAAGAATCCCCTCCTCTCTGCCTTCCCCCCCCACCACCCCAGCTCTCACTCCACCTCTGTGGCCCCAAGGTGTCCCCAAGTGGTCACTCTCACCCAGGTTCTTCCCATGGGAGTGCCTACTTCGGGTTCAGTTTTACTGTGGCCCCAAAGCCGAGAAGCCTTCTCTCCCCTTCCTGTCTCTATCAGAGGAAGCTCCATCTTTGTCTGGATTTTATTTCCCAGCTCTTGTTTTCTACCGCCTGGCCTTGTGGATCTGTTTGTGTTTGCCCTCCTTGTATTAGGGGTGCCCCTGCTTGAATGCACACTTGTGAGCCCAGGGGTCTTATCTGTCCTGTCTACCAGAGCCTAGCAGAGACATGGCACACAGCACTTGCTCCATAAGTCTAAGTATGAAGTATATCCACGTGCAGAAATAGACATGCGTGCACACATGCGTGCGTATGTAAGGGCATGTACTCATCTAAGGAATGAGTACAAGAGCAACACATCGAATCATGACCCACCACATACGGCTTCTGGGGCCCTGGAGGCACAGACTGGGGGGGCCTGGGAGCTACAGGGACAGCAGGCGTCTAGGAGGCTGGCTGGGTCTGGTGTGGGCAGTGAGCTGGCTCGGGGAAAGAGGGTCTTTCTTTGACTACTTGGAATGTCTGGTTGGAGGATGCTGATCTCTGATCACTCAGGCTGGAAGAAACATTCCCCCTTTCTCTGTCTGTCTGTCTGTCTGTCTGTCTCTAGTGACTTGTTTACACTCTCCCAGCCCTCATGGTGTTCAACTCAGTTCACTGGCTGAACACATGTGCACTGTTACCTTTACTCACACCAACTCGGGGTCAGATGTTCCCAGCCAGCAGGTGGCCTTCCATGGGGTCCTTCAGGGGTCTAAGCTCCGTCCAGTGGTGGCTCTGTGCTTCCTTCGGGCCTGAGTTTCCCTGGTCAGTTCCTCGGATCCAGCTGGCATGGGGAGAACATTCAGGTCCGACTTGGAGGTTCCCATCACACCTGTCTATTAGCAGAATGCAGTCCCACGACCCCAGAAATGTCAGAGAAGCCAGAGAAGATTAGCTGGGTCCCTGCGATGCCGTGAGGCAGGTCTGGGGCAGCACATAGCTGTCCGAGTTGCTTGCTGAGGAGGCTGGGCCTAGGTCAGACTTGTCACACAGGCCCAGGGACTAGCCCCGTGTCTGGTGCTGGACAGGTGCTGTGTGCACGTGGACTGACAGGGAAGCCAACACTGTCCTGAGATCTGTCTGACTCCAAGGCCTGTCCTCACCCTTCAGACTCTCAGCCCACCTTTATCCCAGAGCCCTCTGGATTTGTAGGCACCCTGGGTCTTCCTCTCTCTCTTTGCACCTGTTGGTAACCTCAGTCCTGCACACTCTCCCTGGGCATGCGTATCCATTTCCCTGCGAGGGGCCGGGGTCAGAGGACCGGAGGGAATGCCTTTCACCACCCCACCACTTGCTGCCGTGGACTCAAGCTGGTCAGTGTCCAGCAGTGCTCTGCAGCTGCTTTTTGTGACGTGGATCACCAGGCCTTTCCTCCGATGCACCTCTGGGTAGACTGGACATTCTGGTCGTCCTGCGAGCAGCTAAGCGTGTTGCCTGTTTGCTCCACTGGGGAACCCACCCTGAATG